AAGTCGAAATTCTTTTATGAGCAATTTTTATCCAATACCAAAAATTGTCTAATCGTTATCGATCCGCCATTTGGTGGTTTTCATCGTGCATTGGCTTGTTCAATTGACAAACTCGTCTCATCTCGAAATATCACGCACAATCTGATACTTTTCAATCCATACTTTCTCGAAAAATGGATCTCTGATGCATTTCAAAGTTTGAAAATGCTAGATTACAAAGTTGAATACACATCCAATTCATCTCTACATCTCTGTCGTGGAAAGAAAGGTTCGCCTGTCCGAATGTTCACTGATATCTGTCCGTCGAAATGTCCGCCGTTGGATGATGTTAATTATAAATATTGTTTTGAATGTAATCGATACACCCTACTAACCAATCAACATTGTTTTCAATGTCAATCGTGTACGTCGAAAGATGGTTTACCGTATAAACATTGTTTATTATGTCAACGATGTGTGAAAAGTGAAAGAGTACATTGTATGAAATGCAATGTATGTCATTTAAAAGATCAATGTATGACAGAAACGACCAAACGCGCATGTCAAATGTCAGATAAGGAAGAAAATCGAAAAAAATTTAAAAAATAAATAAAGATTTGTTATCAAGTATCAATTTATGAAGCAAGTTCTCAGCAGATGTCATGTTTTGTTTTTCACACGTAGAAATTAGAGGCTATTTTCGAAATGATTATCTATCTATAAGGCACAGAAAACAACCGGGATAATTAATGTCTGTTCGTACTGTTCCACTCGTCGGAGATCAGGAAAATGATTTTAAGCGATAACCGATGGATATGGATGGACGACTTGTAACCGTTTCTCGTCTTAAAAGACGATTATTCTCCGCAAAATCAATTGACATTGATTGACGACCACCTGTAGAAAATAATGATCAGATTAGAAGTGTTTTCTTTCCTGCGTCGCGTCAAATACTTAGATTTTGTCGATGTTAATCAGATGACAATTTAGATTAATGAACTCTTGTCGGTATAGAGCAATGATATCTGGATGAGATCAGTATAACATTTCTATATACCAGAAATTTGTTGATTAGAATGAAATTCTTCTGTACTTACGAATATTTGCTTTTGATTTCGACTCGTGTGAATGTGTATGTTAATTGGTCAGAAATAAGAAGGAGCAGAGCAAAAGTATGTGCAGACAGATGTAAATATGTGCAGATCGTGTTTAACTCAACAGACCTGAACGCTGACGCAAGATGGTCGCGGCACTTTTTGTTCGTATTGATGGATCAAATGATAGATTTGTAGTAGCAATGGGTGCTTTCATGGATGGATTTGCGGAGATTTGTGGTACGGCGATGGCCTGAAAATTTGAACGACTCGTTCGAGGATTGGTTTCTGATGCACGTAGGGCTTGTTGGTAACGATTGTACCGTGGTCCATTTTGAGATGAGAGCACCTAGATGAAGTGGAGTAAAACAGGAGAGGTGAGGATGATGAGGGAGATAGTGCTAACTTTGTCATCGAAGATGTGTGCATTACGTACCGATCGAGGTTCGAATTTCGGCAGTTGAGATGGAAAATAATGTTGAAAGACTTGACTACCTACGAGATTCGTAGAATAATGCCGATTTGTCTGTGTGGCGGATAGTTTTGGGGCGGGATATTGAACAAGTGGTATGTTTTGCGTCAAATCAGTCGCGTCCAATTGAAGCTAGAAAGAAATAAGTGACATCCATGTATTTTTGAGTAGAAAGATTAATATAGACTACAGTGTTACGCTGTGTTGATGAGTTCGGCAGAATATCGGGAGGTGGTGGAAAGTTCGGCATGACACCATTTGAGTTGCTCAACATTCGATGACATAAATCAATGATACCTTTTGACAGTTTAGATAAAAATAAAACATTGTCCTCATGTGACAAATTCAAATACTTACCCATTCCTCGAATTAACGTCTCTCGATGTCTCAATGATAGTAATCGTTCCATTTCCTCTGTTTCATCAATGTCCACAGGTTGTGTCGTATCAATATCGAACTGACTCCGTTGAACTGATGCACTCATATTCTACATTGATCACCATACGGTCATCGGATATAGATCAACGAAAAAGAAATTTTTTACCACAGTCAAACGCTTCAATTGTATTCGATTGAACGATGAACTTCTCGACGATTTCACAACTGGTAACGAACGTTTGCCTGGACTTTCTCCATACGCTTCTTTAATATTATTAACAGTTGTGTTCACTCCTGGCTTATTATTCTTGAGAAAGTTCATCTTTTCTTGTTTCTTCTGTAACTCATCAATTTGTGCTCTAGACAGACAATTACAATATGAAAGTCTTGTTTCCATCGATTACAAGGTTTGCTTACTTGGCTAATTCGCTTCTTGCTTTCGATGCAGCTGTTTCTGAGTAGAGTGTACCTGCCTGAAGAAAGTATTTGTCATAGATTTCGGTGACTTCTGGTATTGGATAAATCCGTCGATAGTTTCCCATATGTTCGTCTTCCCATTTCTCAATTTCTTTCTGCCATTGTTGAGCAAGATCTTCTTGTTCTTCGCGAAATTTGCTATCCTTTTTATTGCTTTTTTGAAAAAGCCGTTCTCGAACACGACGCTTTTCTTCTTCGATAAATCGCCTCTTGTCTGCAGCCGGCATGTTCAATAAAAGTATAGTATCGTAGATCAAAGCATCTTTTATCTCCCGATCCAGTTTCGAATCCGTCGTAAAACTTGGAGAATGATTGACCTTTGAAAAGAATATTTATTTCGGATTTGTCGTCGCAAACTCTCACTTCAAGAACGTGGGGTTTCAATTTTCGATCGATTAGTATATCGAAGCCGAGGATTTCGAAGCAAGCACTACCACGATAATGATGTGCAAAACAAGCACGATAGTTATGTTTCAGAACTGAGTGTGCAGAGATGAGCGTTTTGATAATGATATCATCGATATCTGCCCAGAGTTTGTCTGTATCATAGCCATGATCAACTAACCAACGATTGATCGTTGTTATTCGCCTGAACAAGAAAAATGTCGAGACGTGTTATCAACATCCTTGGAAAATTACCGTTTGGTACCGGTATCTTCATCTCGAACGAAATCATCTGAACGTTTCTGAATGGCGTAATTTGTTAAATGCATGAAAATATCTCTCTAGAAGAAGATAAAACAAAGACTTCTGATTACGATAGAGATTGAATTAAACGTACACAGTTTGAATTCGATGGTTCCTGATAACTATGCGTAGTAAAACGAGCTAAGCCATCCTTATAGAGAAAGATTCGAAATGGATCACAAGATGTGACCGCAACATATACCCGTAAATCAAATTTGAAACCATCGATTAAGAATGGCTATTAAGAAATGAAATGAATATTTCCAATCTCTTTTCTCTCTCTCTCTCTCTCTCGCAAGACTTACTCGATTTACATACACTTGCACAACAAAATTATCACTCCTACAAATACAACCATCGAAGAAAATATCGACAGTACTCTATTCTTACGGTTTAATATCTCTCGAAGGATTTTTCGTCAGAAATATCCCTCGACCTTGACAGCCGACATCCGGTTTTGAAATATAAGTTCGATGTTTTTTCTCAGTAAAATATTTTGCAAAATCGCTATAACTAAAATCATCACATAGACGATCAACATATCCAATCTATTTCATACATACTCAGCTGGAAGACACCATGCTTTTGGATAGAATGAATATTCTTTCGAAAAGAACTTTTGCATACGCGACATATTCCTTGTTAGGAAATCTTTCCGGCAAATTTCACTCATACCGGGAAAATGATTGATTTTCTATTCATTGGCAAAAGTCTTTTAAAGCTTGAACGGTTTATACTCGCCTACCTGCCATTTTTTCATTTGTGATACTCTCTCAATTCCAACACTTGCGTCTGTCCAAAATATATTCCAGTCATCTTCATCGTCTACTTCACGAAAATTCAATAGCTTCGATGCTCGCCGGACGCAGTCGTATTTACACATAGATAAACAAATAAAATATACTCTGAAAAAATAAATGAATGTAATAATTTATTGAACTATAAATAGAAATACTGACCTTTTACGTTTTTTCCTCCCCGACGGTTGTTTCTTGTCTTCATCATCAGTCAGTTCCGATACCGAAGATTTCAATGCTCTTGACACATTCGTTCGATCGTCGTCATCATCATCATCGTCAGATTCTCCAACTTCTTCTGAAGAAAAAAATGACGAACCTATAAGAACTAAACCAATATGATCTTACCGAAATCTCTGGGCACAGTAGAAGGAATATCAATTGTATCTTCGTCGTCATATAGAGTTAATTCATTTGTTCCACCTCCTCCGTATGTTGTTGATGGTATATCATCATCGGATGATGATGACGATGACTCGTCACTCGATTCACTTGAACTGTTTCTTTCTTGTCGTGGTATAATTGGCATTTTGCTTGCTTAAAATAACAACAATCCGCACTCACATACTATTTTGTTGGGAAACTATCTTCAAACAGAGAAAACAAAAAATAGACGTTGTTCAACGAAAAACAATTTCTTCGACTCATGTTCTTTTTCTTGATTGGGATACCGAACAATGCCAGACATACTTTAATTGATTCTTTGATTCCGTGTACACAACTTGGCTGATACCTTTCAAAAACACACCTCTTGCTTTTATTACTGTCTTACATGGGTGTGACGGCATTATAAGAAAAAAAAGAAGAGGATCAGAAGCAGTCATGTTGATTTTTGGTGACTCCTGCTCTCACGTTCTCATTTCAATCGAAGCGCCTAATCAAATTGTGTACTGACAAAGTTCATTTACATATTTAGAAGAAAGCGAAGAAAAACTCGTCGCCAAATATGTAAATAACTTGTTTAGAAACCATTTTCTCGGCAATTCAATCGATTATGTTTGCTTAGCGACTACCTGTAAAGCACGGCAAGGCAGTGCTTTCAGAGACATCTATGTTTTCGACATGGGAAAATAATCGAAATAGGATTGTTTTTGCTTTTATTTTCATAGATTATTTTTAACGTCTCAATCCAGTTTTAACGTATGAACGTGTCTGAACAGGAAACTTTTCATGACGGTGCGCAAAAAACGCTCGTAGCTGCTGTTGATGATAATAATCGGCAAAAGATAAACGTCGTCGAGTGTGCGCGATCTTTTCGGCTGGTTCACCAGTTAATCGTTGGAGTAGACTTGGTGATTTAGTCGTATTATGAACGGTTTTACTATCGTAAAGGTTGCCATGAGAAGTGGTAGCTGTTGTTTTCAAGCAGGTAGAATGAGGTTTGCCATCTCGAACTAGAGGACGAAATCTAGGATGAATCATGCGATTAGTTTGACCGTGATGTAACTGAGAAGAATCGGAAAGATTGAAGATATGATGCAGAACATGTTCGATGTTATTCAAATGATGTTCTTGTCCATGAGGTACTTGTGGATGATGATGATGAGAGTCAGATGACCGTTTGACCGCTTCAATAGACGAAATAATATTGAAAACGTGGCAGAGGCTACCAAGGACAAGCATGCTTCTCATGATAATATCACTTTGTATATGGCACAATTTGTTCTGCTCTTCTTGTGGTATAACGAATAGACTAAGAAGTAAATAGATGATTAATACAAGCTGTGACATCATTTAGAGAATACTAAGTACGTAGGATGGTGCCAATGATAAATGTAGGAGTCTAAAAAATGATTGTTTGTGTCGAGCATACATTTGTCTTTATCTGTTACTTTTCTGGAAATGTATTATTTCTACAGGTTTCTTTCTTCTCTAGATACTGTATCCTCTGCGGCATCATTCTATAAGAAATTCTATAGATACTCATTAGGAACAATGCGATATTGTTTGATAATGCTCGAGTTCATAATGATGTTTTCTGACTAAACAATTCAAATTCAGTGTCTTTTATTATATGCAACTTGCATAAATCTAGCTGATGATCGATACGGATGAGAAATTTAACAGATCGTTCGTTCCATATGACCTACAAAGTTGAATTATTGAGAAGCATTACTTTTCATAAGCACTAATTACTCTACGTAGTGCATTTCTTATAAAATAAAACTGGTTCAATATACATACGTAGAACGTTAGGCGAGCAGTGGCATAATGCTGCATGTGAAATCCAAAAAGTAAAATCTCGGTCGCATTCTCTGACTCTTCCATTAAATTTCCGAATAAAGTGAGAAAAATCATGATAAATCTCATCTCGAACTCTTCTTTCTACTTACCAATAGTCTAGGTTGAGCAATCCGGTTCGGAATCGACAGGAATCTGTCATAACCGATAGTGAAAAGTGGCCACCGACTCCATTAGATGCTTTTCGAGCATTTTCTCACTGTTTTCCAAACGGAAATTATACGTTTCCTACAGGCATATCGCCGAAAATCGACGGCATACAGATCTCAGAATCATCGTCCTGGCTAAGTTTTTGAAATGAATTGAATATCTTCAATTAAATGTTATCTAGTCTGTAGAAGCTTGGTGAAAGAACCTATTTATTCGTATGAAATAGATAATATATTAGTCGAACATGAACGTTATCAGTTATATTTCTCCAAAGGGAATTTCTATCTCTGCCGGTATTACTACACACAACTAGTGACAGTAAGTAGCCGAGTAGTTTTTTCTTATCATTTATCAGAGTCAAGTAAATTCAAAATGATTGATTGTTGTCCATGAAATCTGGTTTGAAATTTGACATCTCACGATAAAGATTCGAACATTTGTCTTTTCTCTTAGCTAGATCTCATAGCGGCAATATTTATTCGGACACCGTATGCAATATTCTATCCGGAGATAATGAAAACGAAGACTTAAGTAGAGGCCGACGTCGACGAAAAGAAAAAATCTTCTTCGTTGACAACACTGTACAGCTTGTTTGATAGGTAATTCGTTTTTTCCTCTGTCGCTAACAAATCAATTTTCCTTCCCACCGTTCAAATCACGAATGCCACTGATTTGATATTTCCCACATGTTTTCGGATAAACATACCTTTCATTTGCACCATAGAAAAAGAAATCACTTTTCAAGACACAAACAAAGTCTTGACTTGAGTACTTTGATCTTTTCTTTCATCGCAGTGTGTCAACTAACCAAACATTTTTAACGACCATAAGAAATCTTATTAATATGTCTCGATTGTTCCCATAATGTCCCATTGATTGATTTTAAAGTAAACACACACATCTATGAACCAATTACGGGTATTGATACTGTATCTAGAACATTCTCGTGATCATCCACGAGTCTTCTAAACGATATCAAGCATCAATCGTATATTAGAAGTCAATGATAACTTACATTTCTTCTTCAAAAGTCAAAAGAATGTGTTTTTTTTCCTTCGAATCACTCACTTAATCGATTTTCAAGTGATGTCACGTCTACAAATAAATCAATACAGTTAGCCACGCTGAGTAGCAATGAGACTGTTGCATGTCAGACTATCGTCTCAAGCGTATGGACGACTGATCAGCTAACAGGCCATTCTTAAAATACAGACGGAAGTTGTCATTCAAATTCAGTTTCAATGTTGCACAAGAGTATAAATTGATTTCTATCTCGTGCTAGTTGGGCGTTTTATCGCATATTTTTGAAATAATCGAACACTTCTACTTAGTTCATGCGAATTTCAACTAATTTTCGATCGAATTGCATGACTGTTTACATAAGTTAAATAATCTGTTTTCTTTGTGTTCACATTCGATCGTTTCTTCTATCAAAGCTCAAACATTTTCAACAATCCCGGCCATTAATGAAGTTTGAAACAATGACGTGTTCCCGGACGAGTTCAGCAATTTTTATTTGGTACTTCTAGAAGTAACGCCGTGTAAGCTCATCAGTTGAGCAAGGAGATGGTTAAGTTTGCATTAATTTAAAATTAGCTACCTATGTTGATAATCTTCTTAGTTTTTGCTGCTTTTTCGGTAGGATTAAATTTCTTCAGTTAATTATCATTTCTATTCTCGTTTTATCACTATTCTCTCCAACACTTCAACGTGCACAAAAGAAGTTAATCTCATTTTTGGGGTCGTTTAGCATTGCACATACATGTGATTTGTTTGTACGAGTATGAGTATGCTTGTTTTGATAATTGACGAACACTTTCGTCAAGTACGCGAAAATTCAGTGAAAGAGTGGCAAACTTCAGAATTATTTACGACGAATCTATTCATACGTTAGTCAGGTAGGTTCATTATTTTCAAGCCAAGCTTGACGACAGTCTATACGCAAAGAAATGCACAGATGTATTTGCATGGTCTCGATCCAAGTAAGAACTCATGAGGAGAAAATTGATCACATGTTAATTAAACATTAATAATAATAAAAAAAAGTGTGTTGAAAACGTTCGGTTTATCGAGTCGAAATTTTGTTGTTTAATTGTGCATTGAGCAAGAAACCGAGCTTCGATCTGATCGTTTCCGTTTGCAAATAAATTAGTTTTTCATCAAGAGGGCGATGAAGCATCGGCTTAAACTGGCGAATGACTAAAACGTCATTATCATGTGCCTTCTTCACAGAAGAAGTGCAATAACAAGATGTACTTAATATAAATTGCTTTACATAGAGATCTGATTATCAACCGAAATGGAGTATAACCGACAAAACTGCAATTATTTATGAAAAAAAAAATTTTTTGTCATACATGAGAAGAAGAAAAACAAACAAGACGATAAGGTATGCAGAGGATTTTTGGTTCATTGTCTAATCAGATCACCACTTTCCTTTTTATCATCTACATCTGTTCCACTAGACATATATTGATTTTGTCGTAATTTTTTACTACCACCTGACGAAAGGTTGTTTGTTGGTGATCGCGCCAGTCCAAATCGTTTGTCTTTCATCATTGCTGTACAAGAATTATTCGACGTTGAGTGTTGTTTACTTTCATCCAGACACGACGGCAACGTTCGAATAGTCGTCGCACCATTCACACGAATAAATGCACTTTTTCCTTTGTTATCCTTGTGAGTAAGTTTATTTTGTTGTTTGCAACACCAACGACATAATTTGTAGAAAATTAACCGACGGAACTCATTCCGAAATCGTGCACCACTGATGAAATAAAGAAAGAAATTGACAACATGCATGAGATCGGATGTAATATTCGATATTAAATACATGACAGCTGATGTCTGAACATAAGTATCAAGATTTCGGTAAACATTGGTGTCGCATTTGACTGCTTTCCAGCTCTCGATGAACACGCGCAGAAAGATCATTAAATAATAGATTGCATTTGGTAATGTTAAGACGAAGAATGAAATCGAAATGGTAATCAACATGACTGTGATTTGCAGATTTTGTGACTGCATACGTGCACGATTGTTTACTGATGAACGAAACGGATTGCTCGCTGTTCGTGTGATCGATGTTGATTCATGCAAAAGCGATGCATCGCGACGTGCTCGAAATAGGGCAAGGAAAATGGCAGCATTTAGAATTGAAATAACAATAAATGGAATAAAGCACCAAAAAAATGCATCGAGAATGAAAACAAGCTTTTCATCTTCAGCCGTTTTAAGCCAACAATACGCATTATTCTTTAATACAGTTCGACTGGCATGCACAGATGCAACAAGCATCGAACAAATAATAACAGTAATGACGACACCGTACGCTTTTTTCCGTGATAGTAAATCCGATACACGTAATGGTAAGCAAACAGCAAGAAATTTATCGGCATTCATCGCGGCAATAAGCCATACTATGATATACGAATACAAATCGAATCTTCTGTTTTCTAGAACATCAATTTACTACTTACCAGTGGTATAATTCACTGCATTAACCATCAAAAATAGAAATTTACACAATCCTGTTGTTAATATATGTTTGTTTGCTGATAGACTTGACAGTTCTCCGAAGAGAACACGTAATGCAAAAAATGCTACATCACATATAGCCAAAGTTTGCATGTAGAATGCAATCGATGATGATCGATTCATTCGTGTTCGTCGTAGGATGTAGAACGCGCATAGATTCAAGATAATCGCAGGTAGAATAAAGAATCGATTGAGATTATGCGTGATGTAACGAACGATATTAAACAAGGGTTTTTGTGAAATATATTCATATTTGATTTGAATGCAAGTGATATTCGAAGATCTGCCAATTAATAATTGATCCGAAATGAAAAATGATGTATTATCGAATATAGGCAATGACGGGGATAACGTTGGTACATTAGATGATTGATTCATCATTTGTTTTTTCGCATACCATGTTATTTCTTATTGTATTCAAATCTAAACACGCAAAACACGGAATGAATAGAAGCAATTCTATGAATAATATAAGAGAAAAAAAAACATTCCTATTCAATATCACTTGTTAATTTTAAAAGGTTTCCTCCCGAGTAAGTAAGAAAAGAAAAGGTGTGTTTTTTTAGTGTTTCAAATCAAATGTTTATGCTTTCGTTGCTCGTATATAGACTTAGACGGAACTGGTCTCTTAAACCTCTTTACAATTCTAAGCACATAGATGAATCGTAATACAATGGTAACAAGTTTTCTCAAGTATGCATGTGCCTGATAGCCAATGAATCTAAGCGGACCAGTTGTCACACCACTAGTGATAATGACGATGTGAATAACTACTAACATGTTGTATCTTTTTCTTTTCTTTCTTTTTTCATCGAATAGAAACAACACTGTCATAACGAAGTTCGGAGATTTTCAACAATAAAATGAATGGCTATCCAACCTACGAAAGCGTATATATATATATATATATATATGAGCATATGGTTCACTTATGTCATGTACGCGCGTAGTGCACCACAATAAAACAAAGTCGTTTGCTTAGAGTTTCAATATGTAAATTCCTATTCATCTAATCAGGTTCTATCCGTTTGAAAAGGATGCAGCGAGACTTGCATTCTCGATGTGCTATTATTGTTCGATCAAGAAACACTTCAGTGATTTGAAAACTATCGGAGCGTACATGAAATCAATCTCTCTACACTTCCGTTAATCATGTCAAATGTGTCATCTATAATAAAAAAGAAATAATCGTCAGACAGTCACTATCAATTGAGAAAAATATTTATTCATAGAAGAATAAAAGAGAAAATATTAATCTACTATAATAATTCATTTTTTTTTAATCATAAACATACTTGTCATCTGTCACACAATGTTCATTCAGATGTTACATTAATCCTTGAAGGACTAGCTACTAATAAGCAACAAATCTACTCACTGTAATTAGGCCTGCAAATCTCTCTATGATTAGCAATAAAATCGGATATACAAACTTATAATTAACTCGGTCCATACGACTAGAAGACAACGTATTAATGATTAGCTGAAGGAACTTCTTCGATAATATTCATTGTTATGATAGGTGGTAGAAAGATCGTCCGATGGCGAATGAATAAAGATCTATTAGCTCGTCAAAATACTCTTGATTGCCTTGAAGCTTTACGTACAAGTATTCTCTCTTTCTTTCTTACAATGTTTTTTTTCGCGCATGACTGGTATTAATGAATATTTAGTTCGCGAGTAGCAAGAGAAGGCGAGGAGAGAAAAAAAAGAAGAGTAATAAAGATAGAGGGAGAGGGAGAGAGAGAGTAGAAAAATAACATATTTAGGGAATTCTAATTACCCGTCAATGATTGCAATATTGACGAGTTATTAGATACATTAGAGCGTTTTGCGATCATAGTAAAAAAAAACGACTAATTCACTTTTTTCGTCTCATACACTCGTCTGCCATTAGAAAAAAAAACTAAGATCAACAGTCGTTATTAATACATTCAGCATCGAACCAAAACCGATTCTTCTCATGCACAAATGGCTTTCAGACTAATAAATGGAATAAATATATATCCTTCTATACCATTGGCATGGAAGTTATGTCGAAAGATCTTCGTTTGCTTTTAATGAAAAAAAATGCAATCTATCATTGTCTTGGCATTTTCTTTTATACATATTACATTAATCCTGATCTGGAAAAGTACTGAAAGAAAACACATCTTTTATTCCCTACCTTTTCTTTGTGTTGATAACAAGAAGAGTTTTACGCCTTGCTGCGCTATTTAGCAAAAAAGTACATCTCTGATTCTCGCGTATCTACTAGCATGTTGTTTTAAAAAATATTCAATTTGATTGTCTCATGCTCAATTTCTCGAGTTTCTCTTCCTCTTCCTCCACGCATCATTTTCTTCTCTTGTCGACCAGAATGTACGAAGTAATTATTCTGCTAGAAATTGTCAAGTATGTCGTTTACAACAATATCAAGTTGTTCTCATCGGCATGTATTCTGAGAAAAATTGTCATAACGATCGAAATCTTCTTGTTTTCTAATAAAGAAACGCTCTAATCCAATCAGCCATTAATAACATTTCTGACAGGAAAACAATATTTACAAACGGCGATATCTTTTCAAAACTTGGACGAAATGTTGTTGACTCATTCCAAAGAAACACAACATAACACTAATATGTATGCATTTTGACATTGGTCTATATAAAGAAAGAAACTTAACATTTCCGTTATGTTGCGAATGTAAAATTGCAACTATTCGGATGGAAAATGTATGACATCTAATAACGAAACGAAGAATATTATTTCTTGCTTGTTGACGTGATCAGATTCCGTTACATTAGAAATGAAAGGAAAGAAACGTACGGTGACTGCTAGAAAAGGAAATAGGAAAATATTTACTACATAAACTTATTTCTGTGATGTTTAATAACATTCGAAAGATTAGTGAAATCGTCCTATTCCGTGCTAGTTAGAACTTTTCTTCTGTCGGAATGTTGAACTATAGAAGTTCTTGGGAACGATACACCAGTACAAGAAACCCGTCTCTTTTGGAATTAATGATGAATTATTGATAAACGACAAAGTGGACTAAACTAAGTGCAGAAGAAAACGTGTTCGAGACAGCCGACAAGTTCCTTATAAAATGAACGTTTTCCAGTTATCAGTAGATTCTCTAGCGATCTACCGGTTACGTGTTCGAACGTTCAGCTACTAACGGCATCTAATATGTAAAGATAAATCTTACGTAAAGTAAAATTCACTTCGTACTAACGATGAATCAATTGGCTTTCTGACAATGAATGATGATTCAAATGTGAAATTCGACGACAAAGATTCAAAATTCTTTCAATTTTCTACGGAGAAAGAGAATTTTGGAATGCGTTTATTCTAGATTGTATTTATGTTCCGAAAAAGTTCCCGACGAGCAGGCGGTATACAACTGGAAGAAATGCCAACACTTTCTCAGCGACCAACGGCAGACAAGTAATTGAATATTTAATATAGCGAAAGCATTGCTTTCTCTTAATTAGCACACACGATACGTCGAGTATATCAAATTCAATTGCCGATAAAAATGGAAGTAATGAACTTCCAGAAGTCAATGGTGAGAAACAGAATTCACACCTAACAGCCTTGACAAATAACACATCACCCGGAATTATACCGAAAGCAATACCGACGAGTGAAGCGGATATGATATGTACAACTGTGGAGAATGTTTCTCATGTTCGATTCGAATGGACTGTCGAGGACTTTTATCCCCAAATGTAAGCGTGAATAAATATCTTTCTCGTTCGATTGCACAGCTGTTTATTTTGAAGGTACGAATGTGGCGATATGATTCAAAGTGAAGACTTTCCACCGTATGATTTGCAGAAGGAGTTTTGGACACTTCGTTTGTATCCGAAAGGTCATTCGGAATTACCGAAAGAATATTCTAATGCTACTCCATCTTCCAATACTGATCACAGCTCAATGATACAATTTTATTTAACTCTACGTCCATCACATATCACATTGAACGCTGTCGATAATATAAACCAATTGTATGTTTATTTTCGTGCCTTGATTAATTTCTCGAATTCACAGGTAAAGACGTTCGTCATCTTGAAACTTGCTCTATGTGACTTTGTTTTAGGGTCGTGTACTCCATACAGAAACGATTCATGATTGTGGTGGTAGTCTAACGAATGAGATTGTTCTAATGAAAATGACTCGTTCGAAATGTGAACAACTGTACAAAGAATGCGAAGATCATCTAATTCTCAGCATCGAATTGACGTCTATTGATGATATTACAAAGCGTAGTTTGAAGACAAGTTCGACCAAAACTATCGACGGTACCCCGCGTGTAATTTCGAAAGTGATGAAAATGAAACTACGTTGGAAAATCGAGCGTTTTGCTGTGCTTATTACCGAATCATCGAATAACAGTTATATTGAATCATGTGAATTCACATTCAATAAGCAACGTTCAACAAATCAACAAACATCATTCTCTGAACAGGATTCTGAAAATGAGATGATCAGACCCACAAATGATGTTCCATTGCATCAATGGTCACTGATACTATACCCGAATGGCAAAACTGAGCGTTTCAAAGGATCTCTGTCACTATTTTTAGAACACACTTTTGGCCCGAGCGTTCGTGTTGTCATTCGATTTTCATTAGTGGATGAACGCGGACGTCGAGTCAATACAAAACAGTTGCCATCGCATGTGTTAGGTGTTGGTGAGCGTTGGGGTATCGGTGATTTCATCAAGCATGTCCCTTTATTGCAATCTCCCGAACAATTGACTCCAAATAATGAACTTCGTTTGTATTGTCAAGTGAAAATACTCGAACGACAATCAATCGATGAAAAGAAGCTCATTACCCGTTTACCGATTGCTTTTTCAACAAATAAATCGCCACTTGCAACGTCAATTAACGATAATCCTGCGATCTATTGGCCAAGGATACTTTACACTGCTTATCAGGAAAAGCAAATGTTTGATATGTATTTACGATGTGCAAATGAATTGTTTCCTGTGCATAAACTAATACTTGCACTTCGTTCAACGGTGTTTGCCAAATTAATCAAAGAAAAAGAACTTACATTAGCCGATACGGTTTCTTCGACTGCAAACCGTCAAAATAAGCGATCCAATGCAACAGAAACCAATTCTTCAGCAACAAATGAAACAAAGCATTTGTCTTTACTTACTCTTGATATTAACAACATTGATCCTCAAACGCTTCCTTATTTACTTGAGTATATCTATACAGGCGGAATGCAAAAACTTGTTTTACCAAGTGCGATGATTCCCTCTTCACTCATAATCGATTTATTAACAATTGCCACGAATTACGATATACCAGATTTGAAAAATTATGCAGAATATTTTATAAAAGATATCATCCGGGTTGGCAATGCATGGTAAGCTTGTCGACACGACTTAGAAGTGAAATCATTCTCATTTGTAGTGAACTACTCTCATCATACGATAAGACCAAGTCAGATGCGTTGAAACAAGTAACATGTGATTTCATTGCTAATAATCTTGGTCATATTATGGAAACACCAGTAAGATGTGCTTTTTTTTCTTCTGGGAAGAAATCCTATTGCTCCGTGTTTAGGGTTGGAGCGAATTGAAAATGAAACAACCTGATCTTATTGATCTTCTTCTTAAATCATGTTTATTATTACGGAAATAATCTTCAAGTGATTTTGTTTTTCATAGAGAATGTGTAGTTTCTGTGTTTTTGTTTACCATTTTGTCTTTCATAAATTATATCTTTTTCCTTTTGCTTACCATTGTGATGAAAATAAAGTATGACGATAGTCAGAGATTTAAACTATAGTAATGAACGACGTAGCACAGCTCACGAAGTTCTCCATCGTTTTTGTTAGTTCTCTCCGCAGATGGCACAACTAATATTGTTGTGATGTTCTTTGTTTTCTTCTTTCCTACGACGAACCAATCGTCTCGTTCTTCTCAGTCTGATTGTGTTAGCGTGTAAATAGGATCTTCTCCCCATAGATCCGGTTGGTGATATGATCATTGTTGTTTATTTTCTTTTCTTTTTCACAGTAATTCCTTGAATATCAAGCGTGGCTTTTCGTAACTTCGATGTTGATATGTAGGATATGCTCAGTGTAATCTTGAGGGTGAGTATTTTTTGATTGGAGCCGATAGAACTCATCAAGTTGTACTTAGAACCTATGCTGAAATGAATTGGTTAAAGAAAATTTCGAATCCTGCTCAAAGATATCCGATGTTTCTCTTGAGAGTGCAATCACTTCAACACATTGTTAATGATTTTCATTCTTTTTCTTGTTTTCACAGATGTAGATGATACTCGATGTATATTTATCATTGTAGTTGCCAAGAAAAAAAATAATATGCTAGTCACATTCTTCACTTCTTGTTTGTGCACGCTTTATTTTGTATGATGACAACGATGCTCATAAATTTTAACGCAGCATGATCGATAAACGATTCATATCGTACAGTTAATTAAAGAGAACTCTCTGTCTTCGGAAGAAAAGTTTCATCAAAGATTTTTCTCATAGAAAATGTAGAAAAAAAAGGTTGGTTTGGTAATTCATACGAACGCATAGATACTTGTTGCCATCCAACATACAGATGAATACTTCTTGCTATTCTCGATGTTAAGTCTCTTTTGTTAGAAATTGCGACAATAATTAGGAATAAGTTAAAAAATATAATTTGTTGAGTGCTATATGGGATTCGATACATGTCTTTAATCATACCGAGTGTCCCTAAATCAGTGAGTATATGTCGCAATGTAGTTTTAACAAAATGTGTGACTAGCATGTTTTAGGTAGTGAATGTATATTTCTAACAGGTATTGTGACTCAAAATATCGACAAACATGGCTTCTAGAAAAATAAGAGATATCAGTTGCGCATAGTATTACGAACTAGACGTTCGAATGTGCTCCATTCCTTCAGAAAAGAACACACGTAATTCATTATACGGACGTTTGAAATCTAGTCAATGACAACAAATGTAATAAAAACATAGACATTTGTTGTCAAACAGAGCAATATGAGATGCAATCTCTTCGTTAACTTGAAGTGGTGCTTTTTATAATAGAAATATTCTTCTTTTCATTCTGTCATTGAGACATTATTTTCTTTCCTTATGGTGGAGAGTGAAGAGTTAAAGAAAAATCCTTGTGAATAAGTTCAACTGATAACGTTCTAAAATTTACTATGAAACCCTTTTACATAATGCTTATTCATTGCAGCAACTATTAAATGAAGGTTTAAAAAGAGAAAGATTAGTGACTGCTTGAAACTTTCAAAAAGATATCCCGTGGAGATTATTATTCCTTTGTCCCCGTAACATTTCAGCATTCTTTATGAAGACCTCTGTTAAGAATGGGATACCAAATACCGCCAGTAACAACGAAGGTCATTCTATATTTATAGATAAAACCCGGTGACTCCTGGTGAAAATGACTTTTCGAAATAAATTGGCTCTCTCAATTTGGTTATTCATAGTGGTAGTTTCAATAATTTCATTTTACAAGTCTAAGACCAGCATTTTCGCGGTAATCGCTTCTCGTAATGTTCCAAGGACGAGAAATTCTTTTTCTTGTCACAATGGAACGAATTTCTCGCATTTGAATGTACAGAAATTCGAACAATGCTTAAAATGGCGACGCAATGATGCATTCTGGGCTGTCGATAGTATTCGACATAAAGCATTCCAAAAACTATTAAATTCTTCTTCGCTCATTGTCGAAATTGGAGGCAACACAGGATTCGATACATCACGCTTCGTTAGTTTGTACAACTGTTCAATCATTAGCTTCGAACCATTACCAGAAATGTCCAAAGGTTTAATGGAGAAATTTCGAACGAATCCAAAAGTTGAAATACAACCGTATGGACTAGGTAACCATGCTAGAACAGTAGAAATCGAACGTGCTGGTAATCAAAACGAAGGTACGAGCATTTTTCGAAAACTATCCTCGAAGAACTCGACAAAAATCCAATCAATTCAATTACTCGACTGCGTTCAAACGATTGAAAACATTCGCAAAACGAAAACGTCGAATGGAATCATCGACATGATCAGTATGAATTGCGAAGGATGCGAATTTGAGGTTCTATCAGCACTCGTTCTTAACAATCTCGCGCAATACATTCGTATTATCCAGTTCGGTTCACACATGGAGTTTTTTCGCGAATCATCATGTATTTACTGTCAGATTCAGCAAGCTCTAGAAAAGACTCATAAAGTCGTCTATCAATATACAATGCTATGGGAAGCATGGGCGATTCAAACGAATTTCTCTTCCAACACATGAACTGTTATGAAAAGAATTCCAATTGAATATTTATTGTATCATTTTTTTGTTTTATTTATTTTTTCCTAGACAATTTCAAATAAATTAATGCATAAGAATTTATACGTACGACATCTATCGACAAATCTGTCCATATATCAGACGAGCCGAAAGAAAACATGGACGTTGGATTCGATTCGATCTCAGTTCATTTCTGTCGGATCTGAGTGTGTTGTGACCGACAGTACCCTAATCAATTGTCATTGTCGGTTTAGATTTGTGATTTCAGAAAACAAAATGCCATCGGTAGGAACACTTGCTTTCGATGAATTTGGTCGACCGGTGCTTATCCTCAAAGGACAAGAGTCGAAAAAACGGCTGTTTGGAATTGAAGCACACAAGGTTTCTTTTACTGTGAACGACATACATCGATACTGATTGAATTCTTTATTTTAGTCTCATATATTAGCAGGCAAGGCTGTAGCTAATACACTGAAAACATCATTGGGTCCACGAGGTAGAATTTTGTCGGAATTTTGACGATGATGACGAATGTGTGTTTTTTTTTGGCTAGGCATGGACAAATGTATGGTATCACCTGATGGTGATATAACCATAACAAATGACGGTGCAACTATTCTTAGTATGATGCACGTAGAGAACGAAATAGGAAAGCTGCTCGTCCAATTATCAAAATCTCAAGATGATGAAATTGGTGATGGAACAACTGGTGTGGTTGGTAAGTTATATCAATAAATGACTGATTTGATCGTGTGCAAATATCGACATTAGTTTTGGCTGGTGCATTGCTCGAACAGGCCGAAGCTTTACTTGATAAAGGTATTCATCCAATTCGCATTGCGGATGGGTACGAATTAGCAGCCAAAATGACACTGGAACACTTGGATAAGATCGCCGAATCATATCCACTTGATCTGAAAAATCTTGATCCATTGATAAATACAGCTATGACAACACTCGGTTCAAAAATGTAAGAAAACAGTGTGTTGGCTGATCATGCAGAACCATATTTAATTTTGGAATTTTTCAGTATTAACCGTTGTCAACGAAAAATGGCAGAAATCGCTGTCAATGCTATTATGAGCGTGGCTGATATGAAACGACGCGACGTCAATTTTGAATTGATCAAAGTTCAAGGAAAGGTTGGTGGCCGCCTTGAAGATACTCTTCTAGTCAAAGGTGTCGTTGTCGATAAAACATTTTCGCATCCTCAAATGCCCAAGGTTCGCTTTGAATTTGTTTCTTTTTCCTTCTGGATGAACCGTGTTTTCTTTTCTAGGAAGTTCGGGATGCTAAAATAGCGATTTTAACGTGCCCATTCGAGCCACCCAAACCAAAAACAAAGCATAAATTGGATATAACAACTGTTGAAGATTACAAAAAATTACGTGAATATGAAAAAGAGAAGTTTACTGAAATGATCAAATCAGTATGTAGAGAACATATTATATTCAGACCTAATACTACAGCTTGACTCTCTCTCTACTAGATTAAAGACGCTGGCACTAATTTGGTTATCTGCCAATGGGGTTTTGATGATGAAGCCAATCATTTACTTTTATCTCATCAATTACCAGCTGTACGTTGGGTGGGTGGGCCAGAAATCGAATTGATTGCTATTGCCACTGGTGGCCGTATTGTACCGAGATTTCAAGAACTTAGCGCAGACAAATTAGGTTTCGCCGGACACGTTTATGAACTTGATTTTGGTACCACCGGTGATCATATGTTATGTATTGAACAATGCAAGAAGTCCAATACATGCACAATTTTTGTTCGTGGAGGAAATAAAATGGTGAGATAGCATTATCCGCTGAATTGAATATATATTCTCGTCATTTCAGGTTGTTGAAGAAGCCAAACGTGCTCTACATGATGCATTATGTGTTGTCAGAAATCTTGTACGTGACAATCGCATTGTCTATGGCGGTGGTGCCTGTGAAATTGCCTGTGCTATTGAAGTAGCTAAACAAGCAAACAAGGTTTAGAATGAAACATATGTTCAACGATTATATCTATGTCGTTTACTCTTATTTAGATTGCAACCATCGAACAGTACGCCATTCGTGCATTTGCTGACGCACTTGAATCAGTACCATTGGCGTTAGCTGAAAATAGTGGTTTCTCACCGATAAAAACCGTTTCCGATGTGAAATCACAACAAATTGCCCAGAACAATCCTCACTTGGGTATTGACTGTCTTAACACAGGAACAAATGGTAAGTTGAACGTGAGCTTGTTCTCCGCTTTGACTGCTTTCGATTTGTTTAGATATGAAGACACAATCAGTGATTGAAACTCTCATTGGTAAACGTCAACAGATCAGTTTGGCTACGCAACTCGTCCGAATGATTCTCAAAATTGACGATATTCGTCTTCCCGGTGAAACCGACGAGTGATTTTTTTAGGTTTTAAACATCTTGTTACATTTTTTTGTTCTTATCAACGATCAAAATCTTTGATGCTATCTTTCTATCTATCCGGTTAACATTCAACATTAAAAAAATAAGAATAAATGCTCTTTCTTCTGTTTCCGAGGCTTTGAACAATAATCCTCGTCATATCTACATGATGACGAATAGCGACATCTATGGAGATCCTTCATAAAAAAAAAACTAATCGATTTCTAAAGAACAAAATTTCGCTACTGAATTATTCGTAAAGTTATTCATCGATCGTGTCGTTCTTCACAAACGTTTGATAAATCAATTCATAAGTTTCCACCAATAGGCAGTCTTAGAACGTCAAACCTGTCTATTCCGCAGTGCTTGATATACGAATAATCACTATTCATCCTTGTCCCCTGGTGATCAGAATCTAATCTAGATTGTGAGTTGACGATATTCTATTTGTGAGCATCTTTGTTTTCAATCTACTGCAATCATCGAGCAAAACAGAAAGTTTTGAATTTGCTGATTAATAATCAAGGTGATGTTCCTTGCTGTTTGGAAAAATAGGATAGTATTTCGATACATATGGGTGATTAATTCTATTTGATCGTTAACTGAAATGAATTCTGTAAGTGTTTCATGATAGTACTTAAAATAAATGATTTCCTCTTTGTAAATTGTTGTTAAGTAACCGTAAAATGATATTTTCCTTCTTCCGGACTACTATAAGTGTCCTTTTTCTAAAAGCATGTTCATAAAATAAATCGATTCGAAGCTTGCCATGAATATGCAATCATTTTCATACATAGGAGCATTAGCCTTTAGCCTCGATCACATTCGAGTTTGAGTATGTTTGCTTTAGTTATTTTATACGTTTTAGATTAATATTCATCATTGCCATGGGCTCGAATGCAAGTATTATGCTTCAACAAGAAGATTTACAAAATATCTGTCAACAAACAGGTCAGTCGAAGTGAAAAAGATTTTCTTTCATGCAATAACAAGCAACAGACGTTCAATGCTTATCCTACGCGTTTAATTAACGGATTATTTCTGACAGCTCATTATTCGAGATGAGATTGTATATTCTCAATAGAGACAGAACGAGAGAAAAGAAAATATCCCTTTTTTCTGATAAGAAATCTGTTGTCGAGCAATGCGATAAATCAAGAAGAAGAAAAATCATCACTTGCTAGACGAACATTCATCACTAACCTTAGGGAAGAAAAACAAAGCAACTTGATGTCTTATTTGTAGGTTTCACCGTCAAGCAAGTTCAACGTCTATACAGTCGTTTCAAAGCACTAGATAAACGTGATTGTGGCTATTTAACACGAGAAGACCTTCAATGCATTCCAGAAGTCAACATCAATCCGTTAGGTGAACGTTTAATTGATGTGATCATGGATGATTACGGTGAACATAATAAAATTAACTTTAAACAATTTATTTTTCTTCTTGCCAAATTTCGACAAGGAAAATTCAAATCTTTAATAACAGAATACAACACGCGAGAAAGCAAATTACGATTTTTATTTGATGTAAGCATATTGACTTTTGAGAATAAGCAACAAATGAGGGAGCTCCTAGATGTATGACCGCAATCATGATTTGAAAATTGATCGATCAGAATTACTCGACGTGCTAAAAATGATGGTTGGTGGAAATATTCATGATGACCAGATAGCGACAATAGCTGATCATACTATTGGAGAATTGGTAAGGTGTTCATTATGAATAACTCTTTTTGATATTTTCTTGGTATTTTTCTAGGACAAAGATGGCGATCGATCGATAACATTCGAAGAATTTTGTAAAACACTCGAACGTATTGATGCTGATGAGAAAATGAGCATGAAGTTTCTAAGCTAACCGATACTTTTCTTCTCTCATTGTATATACATGAGCTTTATTTTAGACATTAGATGTGTAGATATATATATATGTTTTGTATTTATTGCATGAAATTAATGTTAGGAAATAATACTGTAAATGAATATGTTTGTTTGTTTGTTTGAGATAAGTCATACGATGAGTGTGAAAAAGCAATCGTCCATGCGTCGATTATTTGGTTTTGAGTTGGCTGATTTGCAATCGTGGTCAAGTTTCGTTAAACTAATGAATCGACCTGAAGATCCAACATCGTTGGCTGTTCTGCGTATTTTCTTTGGTATGATTGAACGACAAGCTAAACGATAGAACATGATGTTTCAGATAGATTGTGTCAAATGAATCGAACAGTAGTACGAGCTTCGCTGGTCTGTACATAGTTAGGCTTTTAGAGAAAAAAAACTTATGTTTTGGTCTATGGGGCTGTAGAAAATAGTGTTTTAGAAAACTCTCGTTTATGACCATAATGATTTGGTTATCTTTTAGGTATTTTGATGATGTTGGATATCCCACAAGAACGTGGAATGTCACATGCAGATGCTTATTATCCAAACGAAGATCGGGAATGTCAATTTCCATTATTTAATTTTCTCGAACCACTCCGAGCGGAATATATGGTTATTGTTTATTTCATCATGTTTCTTGGTAGGACATTCATTCGTTTGCTTGATTAATACTCATTTGTACGTTTGCTTTTTAAGGAGCTGTTGGTATTACGTTAGGTTTGTTCTTTCGTTGCGCTACGATATGTTTTACAATCACATATTGGTACGTGTTTTTCCTGGATAAAACATCGTGGAATAATCATTCGTATCTGTATGGTTTAATTGGCTTTCAACTGATGTTTTCCGATGCCCATCATTGTTGGTAAATATCCGTAGCTAAATACAAGTTCCTTTTGAATTCTATGAAAATCACTCGAAAAATGAATACAAATGAAAATCGTGTCTTTTAGTTTATTTTATAGACAAGGAAAAAGAAGGAATTAAGTGAGTCATACAACTCTCTCTCTCTTTGTACTTTGTACATATGAGCTGAATCGCTCGATTGTGACTGTAATGATGTCTATTTCGCATATTTTCGACACAATGATTTCTTCTTCGAAGGACTGATTGTTTGATTGCAAGATCACGAATTCGTATTTACCATCTTTAGGTCTATCGATGGATTATTCCGAAAGAAGATTCGACATTCGCATGTGCCATTGTGGAATTACACATTACTTCGTTATCAAGTATTTCTCGTTTATTTTCTTGCCGGCTTGAAAAAAACGGATTTGGATTGGGTTACCGGATACTCGATGGATGATCTAGGGGATCACTGGGTATTCTCACCATTTCGGTAAGCGAAAATTCAGTGAAGATGGGATAATGGCGCACATCATCTTGTGAATTTTAGATACTTCATGACCATTGAACAAATAACACTGATTCTTGTTCATATTTGTGGCTTTCTCTTTGACCTATTGATTGGCTTCGTATTATTTTTTGATCGTTCACGCCCGATAGGGGTTGTTTTCTGTTTGTCTTTTCATTTAATGAATTCCCAAATGTTTAGTATTGGTAAACTGATCGAGGAAGTACCCATTCTGTTACTGAATATTTTCATTCTGTTAAGGTATGTTTCCATATACAATGATTGCGACAACGCCAATCTTCTTCCATAATGATTGGCCACGTCAATTCTTGAGTCGATGCCTTCCAAAATGGTTGCATAAAGACGATTCACCACAGTACAGTCCATCATGTTTATATTCCAAGGAAGAGATCAAACCTGAAGAAACGAAAAAGGGCGAACGAACAAAAACTACTTCGGTCAGTTCGGTTAAAAACGCACCTGTCAAAGCAACACTTCGTCATCAAATTTTCACAATTTTCGCAGTAATTTACCTTGCCGAACAAGCATTTTTACCCTATTCGCATTTTATTACAAAAGGTTATAACAACTGGACAAATGTAATGTCAACTCAAAAATTTTCCGATTCGAATCGAAATTTTTCTTTTGTTTTTCTAGGGTTTATATGGTTATTCATGGGATATGATGGTCCATAGTTGGCATACGTAAGACCATGTCGAATTATTTCATAATTATCATTCGATGCTTTTGTAGTCAACATGTGAAAATAACCTTCATCAACAAAGAGAAAGGAGAGCCGCATTATCTAAGACCAACTGCGTGGGCATCAGCTAAACGCTGGAGTTCCCATGCTGATATGATTGGTAAATGATCTTTCTTTGTCTTACGTCAAGATAAATATTGATTTTCTCTTTCTAGTTCAATATGCACAATGCATTAAAGGCAAATTAAAAGAGCATGGTTATAATGACGTAGAACTTCGTTTTGACATATGGCGATCAATGAACGGCCGGTTTAACCAACGACAAATTGATCCACGGATAGATTTACTTTCATCAGAAGCAAAATGGAGCCCATTCGAAGATACCGCTTGGTTACAACCATTATTGACCAATCTGAGTGATTGGAGAACGCGAATGCAACAAATAGAAACTGAACTCTCGTCAAAAGATCAAAATGCATTAGTAACATTTGTGGCTGATTTTCCAGGTAGAAGAAAACGATGTTCGATGTTCAAAATTTAAAATAATGTCAAACTTAGGTCTTCATCTTGAAAATTACATTCCGCCAGATTTAAACACAACCATCGAAGTGCTCGAAGGTGAAGTTATTGTGGAAATGATCGGCTTACAGAAAAATGTGACATTAAATGTCGGACAAAACATATCTGTTCCAAGCGGAGATTATCACAATGGTTTGTTTTCAATTAACTATATCCATTCTATCTTGCTCTTCTCGCTCTTCTAGTTCATACTATTTCGCCGACACCATCATGTTACATGTATGTCTATCTCAATCAATCGGATGTTCAGATCGTTCATCTTTGGGACCGTTATTATAATCTTACCGATCGCGTCCTTAACGAAACGATCAGTCGTAATCGTCCACTACATAGTGAAAAGGAAGAAGCTGATCTCGTTCGTTTATCCTATGAAGATGTTTTTACTGAATTACGTCAGAAAACGATTCACGAATTGTTAGAACTTCCGCACGATTATAGGATTCATAATAAAAATGAGTCGAACACAAACTGGACGAATATTCGGTTACAATTCGAAACGAGCATGAACCGGTCGATCGTCAAACGCTTAGATACAAAGATCAAATGGCACGAAAGACACCGTCGAACGTTTACAACATTTTTCAACAAGAAGAAGAAACAGTTTTTAAGATGGTATGATACTTCTTTCGCATGAAAAACCTTGGAACTGTACGAAATTGAAGGTTTAATTTCTCCTACCTTCATTCCAAGGTCTTTCATAGTCATCAACGAAAATTCTGAATGTATTTGCATAGATTACGACATCTAAACACTTCTCTTCTTTGTTTCTAGTGTTCAAATTGTGAAAGTGGCATTTAAAAGCATAATATACAAAACTGATTTTATCAAATTGGTCGATAAAGAAATTCATAATAATGTTGAAGAAACTCCATCGAAAAAAATCGTGACCGAAGAATCTCCGCCACAGGTACCACCGACTGAACATTCATCTTCATCGAAAAAGACAACGAAATCGACAAATGGAAAGACGAAAAAGAAGGAAGCAAAAAAATAAACTCGATCACAGTTCGTTTCTCATCTCTCTCACTCTCTCACTCACAGAAGACAGCAATCTTCTTTTCTTTTTCTCTATTCATAGTTACTCATCTACCTATTTTTCATAGTTTTATTTATATTCATAATCCGATGACTATTGTTTTCTTTTGTTCGTATGCATACGTTTTCTCTAGTTTATTTTTAATCGTTAATAAAAAAGACAAAATATCGAAATATATTTGAAAGTTTGTGAAATGTCATAGAAAAACAAGCAGTATCTAATTTGCTGTTTTCTTCTTCTGTTTTTTACCACTTGCTGGCGTCGGACTGTTGATAAAGTTCAACAAATCATCGATATTTTGATCTCCACGGTGACCTGGAATTGTTTCGGCGCGAACTGCACCTTGCTGTTGATTCTTCTTCGGTTTTCGTTTAGCAGCCATGTCCTTCTTAGCACCAGCTAACGATGAGAAAATATCATTTTCGTCGAAAAACGATGGCATATCATGATCATGATGATGCGAGTGATCGCAGCATGAGTGAGAATGTTCATGCTGAGATGCAGAAGTTGTCGTTGCACTTGGATGATCGGTTGGGACCGCTGAGTGGGTTTGACTATTGTTGGCAATATCGGCTGAAGCCATCTTGCTTGATATGTAAAAGTCTAAAGACGCTAATAAATGAAAGAAAAGAAATTATCGGTATAAATATAAATATGTATGACGAATGTGAAGGGCGGAAAAGGTTTTTTCCAATGTATTTAATCTACGATGAATTTGCAATGAATAACTGATTTCTAAGGTAGCGTAGTGGACAGACTATTCATACTATTCGAATGGGAAGTAAGCATATTGGTGAATTGATCAAAAGAGGTCGCAAGTTATCGACTAGAGTTTTGATTGGCGAAGAATTAGACCAAGACAAAGAATATAGAAAAGATTATGTATGAGAGGTAACTTCTTCTTTTTGACGGCTGTTAGATCAAAATGGGTGATAGTGACGATGACTTTGATAGTCGACGAAATCGAGATAAATTCCGTCGTGAACGTGATGATTTCGGTGGAAATCGAGGAAGTCATAATCGCGGCGGCGGTGGAGAATGGAACGATGGAAGGTATGGATGAATTGATATCTTATCAGGTTCTGTAATCGTCTATTTTAGAGATCGATCTAATCAGTTTCGACGACAATATCCCACCGGTCCGCCGCCAGGACGCGACTTTCCACCACGATACAATCGAAGTCCAGCAAGATATGACATGAGTCCACCACAAAATAAACGTTTTCGTCGTGATTGGTAAAGATAATCAATGACTTCTAAATCTTGAATACCATTTGGTTCATTGTTTAGGGATGGGCCCGATGCGCCACCATCTCATTTCGATTCACCTGGCGGTTCATCTTACTTTCATGGTGGTAATGGAAACTTTCACCCCAATTTCCCTCCGAATCCATCTTCGAATAACGATCAGATAAATAAGTAACGAGTTCTTGCGAATATCCGATAAATGTGCACAATAATATTGTCTCTTGTTTAGAGATGCATCCGATAATGCAACGCAACCGCCATTGCTCAGTTTTAAAACTTTTCTGCTGGATCAAGATGATAATATCGATCAAGAAGAAGCTGTTAAACGATACAATGTTTATAAAACAGACTTTAAGAAAAATCAAATAGCAGAATTTTTCACAGCACATAAAGACGAAGAATGGTTTGTATATTTTCTATAATAATCAGTGCAAAGTGCGTCGTTCTCCTAGGTTTAAATACAAGTATCATCCGGACGAATTTCCTAAACGTCGTGAAGAGCAAAGGCAAACCGTCAAAAAGCGTTTAGACATCTTTATGGATTTATACAATAAAGGCTATCTAAACGATGTTAGCCTTGACAGCGACAGCCAACATGCACTAACAAAATTTCTTGACGCTGGTATGTAGTTTTTGAAAATTTTACCGATACTTACTAATTGATGATCGAACATTCGTAGCTGTCATTAAAATGGAAGGTGGAAGTGATCGCGATCTTCGAATACTTGACGTTCTGTCATCATCGGATAAACCAGCGAACGATGATACAAATTCGAAGAAGTTATCAGTAAATAAAGTAACATTAAAATAACTACTTTCAATTAGAAACATGGTCTGTTTTGTTTCAGAGAAAACGCGAAGGTAGTGCATCTGATGATGGCGCAGTATCTGATACTGATAATGGAACTTCTCACGGTAATGAACGGTTGCTTTCTATTCTACCGATAGCAAAGTCATTTATTCTTATTCTTTTGGTAGTTGAATCCAAGAGTAATAACGAAGTAAAATCATCATCATCACAAGATAATGAATCCGAAGCAGGCGAAGTACCTGATGCGCCGCGATCTCTACATAAAACATCATCGATATTTTTCCGACACTTGGCCATGCAAACAACGAAAGATGATCTTGAAAATGTAAAAAATCTTTTTCTTTGAACTCTTGTGAAAATCTTCTTCTTCTTCTATATTAGCTCTGTAAGCAATATGCTGGTTTTCGTCGTGTGTGTATTACTGATCCAGCACCCGAAAGGAAATTTTCTCGACGTGGCTGGGTCACTTTTGACCACAATGTTGAAATCCGTAATATTTGCTATGAATTGAATTCAACCAAGGTTAGTTTCTCATTAGCTTGATGATGTCGAGTACAATTATCTATTTTCATTTTAGCTGCACGATGTTGACATCGGTGCTATTGTCAATCGTGAAATTAAAAATCGTATTCGTACTGTCAATGGTATTGAACATCATAAAACTATCGTACGTAATGATCTACGACATATTACAAAAATTATCAAGCTATTCGACGATCGATGGAATATCTGGGAATCGATTGGCAATGAAACCGAACAGAAAAAGACCGAACCAACGACGATTTCAACGCCAACAGATGATTCGGAGATTTCATCGTCCACCATGAATGTATCGCCTATGAAAAATAAAAATCCAATTGGTTTCGTTAGTTACAATCCGCTATTGAAAAATATCACAGAATATCTCGTAGAAGAAGGCGATGCAGAAGAAGAAGAATTGCTCGGTGGCGACTCGTCGACAAATGATGAAAACGCATCGAGCTCGTTTGAGGTTGATAAAGAGTTAACAAAAGTGAGTCAATATGCCCATAGATCATGAAATTTAGATCATTCTATATTTATTTAGGTGCTCGATCGTTTGATTTTATATCTGCGCGTTGTTCATTCGATTGATTATTACAATGGCTCAGAATATGCACAAGAAGATTCAATGCCGAATCGTTGTGGTGTAATACATGTTCGTGGTGCACCGTTAACATCTATTACTCAAGCTGAATTAAAGAATTTCATCGAACAATTTGAAACACGTATTGCATCACTCGTTGATTTTCAAGAGAAAATTGATGACGATGAAGCTGACAAATTAGGTCTCAAAAGTGAACAAGATGAGATTGAAAAGTTTATCAATGCAAATTGTCAAGAAGTTGGTCCTGAAAAATGGTCGTGCCCATTAAGTGGAAAGAAATTCAAAGGTCCAGAATTTGTTCGAAAACATATTTTGAATAAACATCACGATAAACTCGATGAAGTGAAAAGAGATGTAAGTGTTCCTTTCATCTGATTGTTGGAGAAAAATTCATTCTGCTTACAGGCTGCATATTTTAATAACTATCTCTATGATCCGAAACGGCCACAATTACCAGAGCATCCATCGAATCGAGCGGGAGCACCTCAGGTAGGACCTCATCCTTCAGGTCTACCATTACCTACACCAATGGCTGCTCAACCATTATTATCCCGACCACCACTATGGCCTTCAAGTAAATTGAGCGATCGGATTGTTTTCTTAAAAACCTACCCTTTACTTCATGTGTAGTGTCTGCGCCTCAACATCATGGACCTCCAGGAGGTTATTTTCCAAATCAATTTCATCAACCCCGTCATCACCGACCTCCGTTTATGTATCAAGGTGGCGGTGGTGGTGGGCCTCCCGTTGGCTCGAATCCTCGCCCACCGTACGTTTTTCTTCTTTCTAGTGTTGTAAATGATGGTTTGTTTTCTAGGGGAAATCGACAAATTCGAAGTTATGAAGATCTCGATGCACCGAACGAAATCTGATTTCAATCCGTCACATATTTTCAAAATATGAAAACCATACATCACCTGTCTTCTCGTTGTTTGCGTGGCTTTTTCTTTCGTTTGTTCAATGTTGTATGAATATTCTACGAATTCATTGTTTTTTGTCTTGTAATCGTATGAAATATATTAAAATGAAAGTCAAATTAACTTCGTGGTTCGTACAAATTAGAGGTCGCTACCTTCACAAATTGATATTTTCATTGGTATTCCACGTGGAACGACAAACATTCGTTTATATATATATAGATATATCTGTTCTACAAAAGTGATTATTGAAAATTTTTAGACCATCTTGTCATGGATGTTATGGACATCAGTGATGTTGAAGACGAAGAAATGTTCTCCGATTCAGATACTTGGATCTATTGTGATGAAGATATTCAGCCATTAGGTTAATTCTTTCAGAAAACGAATATTCTTCATTATGAATCAAAATTTGACTTGAATGTGTATAGATGATGACATAAATGAAAACAATTGGCGATTTGTTTTTCAAGAAACACTCAACGATATTCGTGAAAATAAATTAGACGATGGTGCTCGACCACTGATATTTGATGGTACATGTAAAATTCGAATTAAGAAATTTGTTGACACACCCTTTACTTTTCCGCTATCGAATGCATTGTGTTCTCGACTCATCTGTGAACACGGTACACCAATGGCTCTTGCAAATAGATACGATTTCTGTGGACTCAAAGTATTTGTTCACTCACTCAAGTTTAACTTTATTTTCACTTGAGTATCCTAGGTTCCGAACACAGGCTGGAAGGTCAATCCCGAAAACTTCGATTTTCCTATACCACTGTCAACTGCTATTCGATCGTATACCTTCGAACAACTGCATCTGAACACGCCCGATTTAAGTGAACATTTTGATTTGAATCTACATAAACTATTCATATTTGGACCATGTACACACTCGAAAATATACAACTTCGATGATAAACTCTTTGTTTATCTTGCTACTGTACTCGTTTTCCTACCTTCACATTACACCGGTGGGAACTATAGATTTATTGACGATAATGATGATAATGAAGATCTTCATCGACACTTTTTCAATCAACAAGAACTAGATGATAAGTCGAAGGCATATATTCTTATTGTGCCACCTGATTGTCAACATGAAATTCAGCCGATCGAAAAAGGTTTCAAACTTCTACTTGTCTATCATCTTGTTTCCAATACAAAGTAAACAAGACTTGTCTAATTGCTCGATCATATCAGTTGTTTGATATTTCAGTTCGATTCAACAACTGATCTCTCTTCTATCGAAGACAAGAAACCATTCACAAACAGTGGAGAACATCTTTCTTTCGCAACGTCTCCAACGGATATTTACCTACTGGGAAAGGAATCTTGACAAGATGCCGACGAAACTTGTCATTCCTATTCAACATTCGCTGGATTATTCGCCTTATTTCTCGATATTATTTCGTGATAGATATCGAACAATCATTGAAATTCTCGTGAGAGCAATTCAACAGTCCTCGTCATTTCTTGTCTATTCAGCAACATTACAGCATGAGGCGCCATTTGGGGATCGAACAGATTCTCGACTAGTGATTCATTCTCTCACGATATTAAACACAGTGAATCAAATCGCGTTACATTTTGATTCTGACCACGAACGCACGATCATTCCAAACGAAGTTCTCGGTGAATTACACATGTACATTGACTCATTCGAACAAGCTGGTGGTCGTCAACAAGTTCTTTCCAATGGTAAACCGATTTGGTATACATACAATGCTTATCGATTTTGTCATTCGTTTAGGTAATACAGTATTTCGTCATTATTCGAAGTTTCAAGTTCTTCTCATCATTCCACATGCATATCAATGGGATCTTTTACTCGATGACCATTCATTTGCTTGTCATCACTTATCGTACATGCTTTCTTTACCTACGAACGCTTTGGATAGCTTAAGCTTAAACTTGCTTTCCTGTATTCTTCGTGAGAAAACTGCATCGTCGAATCTATCATTCGGTCAGATGATTCATTACTTGATTATTCTTCGTACTCGACTTGGTCTCACACCGAACGTTATCCAGTTAATCAAACTACTCTTTCGACACAAGCAGTTCCAAGATGAACTGTTTTCGAATGAGAAACTTTTTCACTGGTTAAATCGTTTAGTGGCGTCGTTCGAAAGTTGGTCAATGTTTTCCATGGAATTTTTAGAAGTCTTTCGCAAAGTTATCAGTTCTTCGATGCCAACGAAACTGAATGAAATCATTCGATTCCTATTACAACTTTCCAATGCAGTACTACGCGCTCTATTCATTAATACCTTGCTTCGATCGATATTCAAAAGACGGACGTTACCACGACATGTTCTACCATCAACCTTATGCTCGATTTTGCATCTATTGATTGTCGACGGTTCGTATTCCCTTGATTGTCAGTTAAGTCTGGCATACAATATCATTAAACGAGTACGAAAAACATCTATTGATGGTGAGATCATTGAAAAATCTTTCAAAATTCATCTGATACCAATGCTCATCAATATCTACCGTGATCTAAAAACGAAAGGAAAACAATCGCATTCGGTTATTCCACTTTCGGCAGCATTCATCCTTATTTATGAGTATTGTTTAAACGCACTGAGCTATTACTGTTCGCCGAATAGTTTATCTTCATCACCATTGAATGTCGTATCGATCAACGAAGCACTACTTATTTGTCCATGTGCATTATGCACTCGTCTACAAACGTTTCTCGTTGATTCGAAAATGTCTACATTGATCCTTGATGTTTCATCGAATCTTGTTGCCGATCATTGTCTTCGTCATACATTGAGTAAATTTCCGATGTTATCGATTGAATACAAGCATGATCCGTGTACGGGTCGTGAGGAAACTTTGATTATTTCAAAGTGTGGTTACGAAGAGGAACAAAAACAATTGTGTTTTCATCTTCGTCGTTTATTGTTGCAGCTACATAGATTATAAATTTGAAATGTCTTTCTCCCTTGTTTTTATGTAAAACTTTTTCCTTTTATGTCGAAGAAAATATGATCTCAAGTAAATAAATACTCAGCAGATCATTTGCTTGTCAGTAATGATTCGATTTATCCACATATCGAACTTTTAAGGTGCCTTGTCAATAACGAAATATCGACTCTATAAAATTATATCAAGCAAATTTGATTATGTTGTTTTGATTTCTCTTGTACAATACAGAAATATAACTTTCTTTTTTCATCTCGCCTTCTTCTTCTTCTGTCGATTGCTTTCACAATCGTTTTCTACCCTCTTTTCAACCATTTATTTGTTCTTTCAGTGCTACATATGCATATCAACAAAGGGTGGAGGAGACGAAGAAGAAGAAGAAATACATCAGGCTAATAATTGCTTACGTAGGCGGATAGCGCTACACATTTGTACAATCCATTGCACGCAATCCATACACATATGTTGATATGTTATATATACAATTGTAGATTATCCTCTCTTCTTCTTTTGCACTACCGCCGCATATTACCATAAAAGGAAATGCTCGTTGTTCTTTTCCTATCTAGGAAAACCACAGATATTACCATATATATCCTCTTTGGATATGCAAGAAAGGGAAAAGAAGAGAGAAAAAGAAGAACTACTATATAACTCTCTATCCGATCCATTCGCGAGTTGCCTTCGATATTTTGCATATTCACAGCAAGCACATCACTTCTTACTTCTATTCAACATAAACTACAATCATGTGTGACGAGGACGTTGCTGCTATTGTTATTGATAATGGTTCAGGTATGTGTAAAGCTGGTTTCGCTGGTGATGATGCACCACGATCAGTCTTTCCATCGGTTGTCGGTCGACCTCGTCATCAAGCTGTTATGGTCGGTATGGGTCAAAAAGATTCCTATGTTGGAGATGAAGCCCAATCAAAGCGTGGTATTTTAACACTTAAATATCCAATTGAACATGGTATTATTACTAACTGGGACGATATTGAAAAAATCTGGCATCATACATTTTACAACGAACTTCGTGTTGCACCAGAAGAGCATCCCGTGCTCTTAACCGAAGCTCCACTCAATCCAAAGGCCAATCGTGAAAAAATGACACAAATCATGTTTGAGACATTCAACTCACCTGGTACGCAGACATTNAGATAGCATAGAAACCGAATAGAAGATGAAGAATTTCTTTATAAGTGAAGATATTATGATAAACTGTTGGTAATATCACACTTAATTCGAATATCACATACACACTTATCAGAAATAATGTGAGAAATATTGGCACTAATTCACCGCGATCTCGCGGTATTAAGAATTTGAGCTTGCGACTAACCATTTTTTGTCACACAATCTAAAATCAAATCCAAAGAATTACCATTCGCCTGAATACCCTGATTATCTCCAACTCGTTCTGGCATATCTTTCGTGATTCGTTAGTCTCTTGATAGCATCTTTGTTTTTCAAGAAAGAAAAGAAAAAGAAAGGTTTTCTTTTTAATCAATAATAATCTACCAAAAATATGGTCAATTATTTCTGTTTCCTTTTTTTTTAAATCTTTCTGATATATGCAAACAAAACAGACGACAACAGACATGATGATGTTTCACCCGCATTCGCACAAGAAGAAACAAAAAATACACATAGAAAAAAACCGAGCAGATGAGATGTTTTAACGGTGAAAATAACGACCAAAATAATTGTGCTATGAAAGCGCACGATTTGAATCTCCATTAAATAATATAAAGAAATAGCAGGGAAAGAAGAAGAAGAAGAAGAAAAACAATGTATACACAAAACAAACAAAATACACACACACATACATATGTTTACGAATAAGGAAAGAAAACATCGATCCAAAAACGAAGAAGAACAAGAAAGAGAGAAACTCTATGTATTATGATATGATAATCTAAAAATAAAGTTGGATGTTGTCAATTGATTCCCATACGAATTCTAGACATTATTTGCAGACAAATAGAAATCTTGAGCATTTGGATCGAGACTGGAGGCCGCATTTTGTAATGGTAATGGTGGTGGTGTGATTGTTGTTGGTGGAGAGTAAAACACTGATGATGGACTTGTTGTTGGATTGTTGTTCGTATCAATCAATTGATTGGTTGGAGACGAATGGCCAGACGATTGAGGATGACCGTTAAATAGACAGTTGTTAACTTGATGTTGGGAATGAAGCGCCGCGATGAGTTCACGTTCTTTTTCTCGTATGGCACCTAGGAAAAAGAAAAGGAATTGACACTATAGCAAAATGATTTGTTGACAAACCATTAGCAATTTCTAATTGTCGTTTCACTTCACCAAGTGCAGAGAAAAGATCGAGTTTAATTCGTGTTTCAGCACTAAGACTATCCTGTAAATGTGCATTGCGTTCTTGCAGTTGCGATAAATGTTGATAGAGCACTTCAGTATCCGCTTGAGATTCACGATATTTCAAAAGAGTCTATAGAAAAATCGGAAAAACATCGAGAGATGATTGATCAATTCAATTACGTGCTTTACCTTTATTTCATTATCGAGCAATTTAATTCGTTCATCTTTATCATTGAGTAATTTACGCACCTCTCGCGTTTCATTCTCTTGATCACGTCGTCGTTTCATACACTGTTCTGTACATTCACTTCTGAAGGTACGGAACAATAGAAAAGTAAAGAAAAATGGTTGCGACAAGCAAACCTGGGTGGCGCCAAACTCAGTTTCGTCAAATCATCTTGAAGTTTCTTCGTCAATGCTTTTTCGGTCTTGATCTGTGTTTCTAGTCGTTGTTTATTCTGTTTCTCTTCACTGAGTGCCTTTTCAAGCTCAACTAGACGTTGTTTGTCACGATTCTTTTGACTATTGGCCGCTTCATATCTAAATCCGTGAAGTTCATATAGCTTGATGTGCGAGAACGAAAATTGCGAATTATTACTTTGTTTGCAATGAACCATTTTCTGTGCGTATGTCCTCGAGATCTTTGCGGACGTTTTTCAAATCGTTTAGTTGGGTACGAAGTTGCAATTCGGCCGATTTCTGCTTTTCGATCGATTGATTCAGTCGTTGAATATCACTTTCGAGTTTACTGATCTGAAGACTGAAAAAGAAATCAAACAATCGATTTGATCAGTCAAATATCTGCTGTGTGAGTTTACTTCTTTTCATTATCTGAAGTTTCCATTGATGCAAATCCATTCTTATACGATGATGATGAGTCTCGCGATGCAGCTCGAGTTTGTTCTCTTGTTTCTTGTTTCTTCTGCTGCCTTCGATTTTGAGTATTTTGTGTATTCGAAGGTTTAATTAAAGGTTTCTTCTGTTGTTTGTATGTCGATGATGAATCGTCGTCGTTATTATTATTATTTCCATTGGAAATTCGCGTATTGCGTGTGTTAGTTGTTGTCGTCGTCTGTACAAGTGAACTGGGAGATGCTAACTCATCCGTAGTAGAGAGCTTTTGTGGACGTTTTGATACTGTACAAGGTAATGATGTTGAATGGTTACTTGATTGTGTTTGTGGATTATTGATAAGTACTGATGATAGAAGGTTTGAAGTATTTGTCGAGGGAATCGAAGAAGTCGATGGATAATTTCCATCGGAAGTGGATGGATTAGTACATTCATCGTAAGATTCAGAAAATGTACCTAAATTCCGAAGCAATGTCATTCGAGTAAGACAGAAGTCTGAAATAACTAACCTTTCTCTCGACTTAATCTTTCTTTTTCCGCTTCTTGTTGTACTTCTATTGGCAATGCTTGGTTTATTAACTGGATGTATGATTCATTTACTTTATGAACTTCACGTTGTTTTCTCTGTACAAAATAGAAGCTCATAAGAAGAAATTCGATTCCTACNAGAAAATGTACCTAAATTCCGAAGCAATGTCATTCGAGTAAGACAGAAGTCTGAAATAACTAACCTTTCTCTCGACTTAATCTTTCTTTTTCCGCTTCTTGTTGTACTTCTATTGGCAATGCTTGGTTTATTAACTGGATGTATGATTCATTTACTTTATGAACTTCACGTTGTTTTCTCTGTACAAAATAGAAGCTCATAAGAAGAAATTCGATTCCTACGCTGATTGTTTCTCACCAGTCTCCATTTATAAGCAAGATAAGTCTTAAAACCAAATCCCAATGTCACCATTGGATAACCGATACTAAAATTTCGACACCGATGATTATCATTTGAGAACAAGCACACTCATATCTTTACCAATGTGCGGCAAATGGTCGACAAAGATCAATCGTTTTAATTTCACGTAGTCGTACTGATGCTTCAAGCCATACAAATAATACCCAGAGAACAACTGTACCCAAACAGATTCCACGTTCTAGAAACGAATCAACATTATCGAGCATGAATCACTAGATTCAACGAACCTGTTTGCCACACATATTGTACCCATACATAACTACTTGCAGCGAAGAATAGCCATTGAATAGGTAGTAATATATAACAAATGAGATCGGCTATGAATGCGATAAGTACAAAGAATGATGAGAAAAGCTAAATGAAATAAAATTCATGCGAATAGAGTTCCATTTCAACTGTTTTTCCTCTTACTAATCCTTGATATTTGAATGAATCATAGATACTTCGTAATACAAGCCAAAACGGCCAAAGATATTCGAAGCGAAATTCAAGTAGATAATCTGCTGCCATTACAATACCCCAAATACAAATGAATTTGAGATACATTAATGCACTAGGAAAAGCAATTCAACAAAGAACATATTTTAATTCATGCTAAATAACTTGTAATTACCTTCCATAAATACCATCAGTTAGACGAGATCGTCGAATAGACTTTCGTATTTTTATGCTGTCAAAATTCGTTCGTCGTTTCATATTTGTGACAATGCACAAGAGATAATATTGTCATAGACTATATAAAATAGAAAAAAAAGAAGCAAATGGACTAATAGTTTAGTTTTTT